GGGTTAGCGCTAGCACTTGCCAATTTAGCCAAATGCTAAAACTGACTTAATTTGGCTAAACAAAAAGGACTTGATTTGGCAAATTTTAGTCAAATTAAAACTATTTTCATAAGAAATTGACAAAAAAGTGATGATTTGGCTAAGCGAAAAAAATTGCTAGGGCTACCCCAGATATTACATGTACATTCAGACATGCACAGCAGGTGCTCATGTAGCGCAAAACAAGTTTTCTTTCATGAGCAAACTAATGTTTTCTCTCTTTTCGCCAGTCCACCCTGCAGAGGTGTCAACAGTGTCTATTAACACGTCAGGCTGCCATGGCAACTACCACAACCAAGCGGCTACCTCAGAGTTATACAGTAAATAACAGTTTAAGAGGATACATGTGCAGTTCTAGACAATATCTACCAACCAAGGTATGAAATACAGAAAAAAAGTAAAATTCAGTTTTTGTATATCTAATTACCAGTAGTACTATATAATGAAAATTTCTTTCAGTGTTACTAGTACTGTAATCATGTTTTTATTTATTTATTTATTTATTCAAACTCATTTATCTGTACAATTTCAACCTTTTGGCTACAATGTTTTAAAAAACCTTTTCATTCTTATAGTTTTTTTAAAGTGTAGTTATGTAAAGGTGATATAATGTGGAATTTTTATTTCTAAGTTTGAAGTTTTCATCTATTTAACTTTCTAGCTGATACAGTAAGCTTGCCACTACTGGGATCAAAAGACAGAACAGTCGTTATAAATTTTATTTTATTATTATTTTTTTTTTTGTGTGAATGTTTGTGGTGCAAAATAAATATGGATGTAAAGCTAAGTCAGAGTGCGATCTCTGCCCTCCAGCTGGGCCCAGTGCCCACCCCTCCCCCAAAAATGGCATCTACATACAAGAACATATATTGAGTTACTTCTGTATGAAGTTTTGAGGCAGCCATTCTTTAGATTTTCTTGGGTATCTGTGAAATACACTTTTGTTAAGTAAAAAATATACTTGCACTGGTTTTGTACTTGGATACATGTTAAATATTCAAATGTTTTATTGAAGACTTCGATTAAGTGGCCTTATTTATAAAAACATTTTTTTTCAGAGATATAAAAGTTCAACAACTGTGGTGCCGCAAGAATTCAGAATCATAGTCACTCCAATTACTGAAAGAAACACATTTGTACAGTTTACAGGTGTTCATAAACTGCTAGATAGGTCAGATATCAAGGTAAGGAGATGATTGATGTTTTAAAAATAATATTAAAAGGTTAACGACTGTTCATATGAGATTCAGTAAGTTCTGTAATTAGTACATTGTACACAAAATATTCAAATACAATACATTTCATTTTGCCACCAAAACGATGTTTATTCCAACAAATCTGAAGCGTATGCTTGCCATCCAACCATATGGACCTACAAAGATGTCTACCCTCCTTAATAAGATCCCTTAAGAGATTATTACAAAAATACACTTTTTTTACTTTTTTAAAGCACATATATCAACCAATTCCTGTTTAACTTATCTTGGGAAAAGTTGTACCTTTTTATTTATATTTTTACACAACTCGTGTTAATTATTTTATGGATAAATTAGTGTTGAAATTTGTGATAAAAAAAGAATAAAACACAGATTTAAGTGAAAATTAAACTCACTAAATCAGCTATCAATATTTGTATTGGCATTAAATTTTTGGTGTTTCAGAAGGTCATGTTGAGGGCGTACTCTTGCTGTGCTGAGCTATGGGAATATGAAGATTTCTTACAGGGTATGTCCCTCTCTACTAAGGGCTCATTCCCATTGAAACTATCTGTCTAGTACGTAGATTGATCCAATTCCATGGGGAATCTCGCTGAAAGCAATCAGTTTCACAGATTGTCATGTCTCCTGCAGGCATTGAGTAGAATACAGTAAGCTGGTGATTATATGAATATGTTGGTAGTCACAGGAAATGTGTTAATCTGTTAAACTGATTGCAATCGGCGAGAGACCCCCACAGAGTTGGATCCAGAACAATTTGCTTTCATTGGGAACAGGCCCTAAGGAGTCACTGACACAGAGCAGTCCCAGAGCAGTTACTGGGACCTGCAATTTGACATTTTTACATTTAAATTAATTTTTTTTAATGAGTCATTTTCAATTGTACTGTGAGATGTATGAAGATGTTCGATTATGCTCCATTCAGAATAGGGGACTAACTAGTCTGAGGGTCAAATATGGTGACCCACTACAAAGCTTGCCTTGTAATCCGCCAATAGACCCTGAATAGATATAGAATACTTGACCCTCCGACTAGTAAGTCCCCTGTTCTAAATGGGACCCTTCGATTCAAACTATTGGAGGTAAACTATTATAATATTAAGCTGTTGATTGAAGAAAAATAACTTTATTTTTACCGTGAGACCAGTGTTTGCGTCTCACACTGTGTTCATTTTTTCACCGTTTAATTTCGTAACAGGCTAAGACCCCATTCCCATAGATTTTAGATCGATCTATCCCTGTGGGGAGTCTCACTAGATTACTGTCAGCTTAGCCGGTTTAAGCTTCTGTCCCGCCCATAAAAGCTGTAAGGGGATAATTAACTGTCCTACGCGCTCAGCTGACTGCAATTTAGCATGAACCCCCAGGGAGTTTGGTCGATTCGGACGGATCGATATAAATCTCTGGGAATGCACTCTAAAAGTCATAGAAAGCAGCCTCATTAAGATTTTTGGATTCACTTTTTGCTTTCAGAATTTGACCTGGATGATTCATTCGAGACCTGGGCAACTCTCACAATGCTGCACATGTGGTACGTGAAGGTTGGCAATCAGCTGCATTTTTTAAAGTATCTCAGAAAGTTTAAAATTCTGTAGGTTGAAAATCAGTCAAGCGACGGTGATAAAAATGTTTAAATATGTTGCTAGCTAATATATTTTACTGCTTCAAATTGTATCATTCTAAGCAATAAAATTAAAATGTTTTTCTGATGTGAAGCATTGCATATTTTGAAACAAGAAAACCTTTATATTTTGTTGAAATGATGTTTGAATGCAATAAGTAATCCCTTAAACATTTAAAATGGCAAGAGCCAGAAAACGCAGTAGATAATTTGTCAGTTGTCAAATCACAGTTGTGGCATGACAGGTACTGTAACAGTTGCATTTGTCAGTTGTCAAATCACAGTTGTGGCATGACAGGTACTGTAACAGTTGCATTTGTCAGTTGTGCCATGACGTATGTATCAGTAGTGCCATGATAAGTGCATCAGTTGTAGCATGACAAATGTGATCATTTTGTCAGTTGCAGCATGATATGTGACCATTATGTCAGGTGTGGCATGACGTGTCCATTGTGTCAGTTGTGGCATGACGTGTCCATTTTGTCAGTTGTGGCATGATGTGACCATTGTGTCAGTTCAGGCATAACATTTGTGACCATTGTGTCAGTTGTGGCATATGTGACTTATTGTCACAGTGTCAGTTGTTGCATGACGATTGCATTAGTATTGACATTATAGTTTTGACATGACAAAATGCCAGTTTGAACATGACAGCTGTGAAATTATATTTGTTGTGTTATGACCTGTGTATCGGTTGTGACCATGACATGTATTTAAGCTGTGGCATGGCAATAGCTTTCCTCTTGACTTGACAGTTTTGCAGTTTTGACACATTACACATTGTGACTCTGCAGTGTGTGTCACTGTCACACACCCTGAGCTTCAGAGATAACTTGACACTAACCTCTTCACTATAGCCTATCTTCATCGTGTCAAGTTACCTCTGACGAAAATAGTTTGACCTAGTTTATATAAGCCAATCGAATCCAAGTATCAAAATTTTTCACCAAAGTTTGGTGAAAACGCTGATTGGTTGATCGTCAATCGGCAATCCTCTGCTGATTCCGCAAGCTCCATACTAACAACAAAGTTATTGTCGAGTGTGGAGACATCCGAGTAGTTCCAAGTGCATAACCGTACACAAAGAAAGCATGGCATCTCTACGAGTGACTACGTAAAATAATGTGTTAAGTTATCTCTTGATTCTTTGCAAAATATGAGTATATTGGAATTGAAACCAGAGCAGTTTGAGGCCCTGCATCATTATCTACTGNAGAAGCTCAGGGTGCTGTCACATGACAATTATGGTTTTTGTGGCATGACATTATGTGACATGACATAATGAATGTTATGACATGACATTACATGACATGACATGGCATACTGGTTGTTGTGACATGACACAACATGACATGACATGGCATGACATACTGGTTTTTGTGACATGACATTTGTGTTGGTGAAGGCCTGAAATATTTCATGCTTTTACCAGGCTATTGGCAGTCCGAATAAATCGTCCTGGAGAAGATCTCAATTATAATGTCAAGACATACAAAGAGAACTTTGGTGAACTCTTTATGGAGGATGTGGAAAATAGACTGAAAGCTTTAGGTGTAAGTTTGAGTTTTGTCATTATTGTTATTAATTTTTTTTTGTTCTGTAAAAAATAATGTACTGCTGTTCAACTTCATTAGTTTTGATATTTTGAATACCCTTAATCATGCAAATCAATGAACTTAGAGTCACAGCTGCATGAATATAGATATTTGAGATAAAGGTTCATTTTATGCGTTAGAACATATTTAACTTGTTTTAGACAAATAATAATAAATTATAATTTTAGAAATTATTAATTTAAAATTTTCAAAGCAAAATCAAAACTTAATTTTCAGTATTAAAAAAAGTTGCATGAGTTGGAAATAATGTACAGTCAATTTTCAGTATTAAAAAAAGTTGCATGAGTTGGAAATAATGTACAGTCAATTTTCAGTATTAAAAAAAGTTGCATGAGTTGGAAATAATGTACAGTCAAGCTAGTGGGGTGGTTCATTCCCATTTCTCCATGATTTATTAAAATAGGGGGCATTCAGAACAGATGATCTTTAGACTAACTGATCTGTCGACTAAAAATGGCCGACCCCACTTAGAAAGCAATGCCACTTATTCCATGCTGGTCTCCCCGCCTCCACATGCTCTGTCACTGCAGGGACCTAGCAATTAAACCTCAGAGCTGAGATTTAACATGTAAAATGGTGCGTGTGAGGAGCTAGGCCATTATGGAATTAGCAGCATTGCTTTTGAAGTGGGGTTGGCCATGTTTAGTCTGTTGATCAGTTAGTCTGCAGATCGTCTGTTCAGAATGCGCTCACAGAGGCCATTCCCAGAGACTGTGTTACTAACTTTGAACCGATCTATCTCCAAGGGGGTTCTTTCTTAATTGCTATCAACTTCTGTGGCTAAGATGTCTCGCACGCCCACTGAAGCTGTTAGAGGGTAATGAACTATAGTTTGGCGGCTTCAGTTGGCGTGCCAGACAAATAAGCCATTTAAGCTACAAGCAATTTAGCGAGATACCCTTTGGAGATGGGTCGATCCAGTTAGATCGATTTAGGCATGGGAACCCAGTCGTAGTGGTATTGAAAATATTGTCTAATACATTTCAGAGAGAGATAATTACCTTGGCAGAGAGGGATGAAGCGAAGGAACACTTCTGGGGCCTATTTCAGCACATGTTGCTAGGGATGGACGAGGTAAATGTAATAGAAAAAAAAGAAATACTGCACCCAGTTTCATCTGACATCAACACCAAATAGTGTTGTCCTATGGATAACACCATCCACTACATATAATTGTTCTCATATGGACTGAATGTAGCGATGTTTCTCAGACTACTAAAAAGTACTGCTTGCTTCTTGGACTCTGATATTGTTGAAAAAGCCTGCTGTCATCAGCATAACAGCCCATAGAATAAAGATGTGCGCATTTAGCACAGTGAACTAACAGATCTGCAAATTAAATATGGCCTACCCACTAGAATGCTTGTTGTTTAATCCCTGTGGGAAATCTATTCCGTCTGATCGGATATTAAGTGGCAATAAAGCGATATATAAAACAGGGGTGGACGGAGGCCAATTTCTGGGTTTTCCAAAAATTTTTCAAGTTTATATTGACAGACATTTAATTTTTTTACCTTTGGAAGATGGACTAACTTTAAGATAATTTTGAAGGCTGTTAGAAAATATCTCTTGATCTGCCCCATGTAAAATATTATCATGTCCTTTTCAGGGTATGTTGAGTGATGACAAGTGCCTGGCGGGGGCAATATGGAGGCATGTGTTTCATGTTAAACCTAAAGAACCAGAACACTTAGCTTCCATGGTGGAATATGTCAGAAAACAGGTGGGTTTTTTTCAGTGTCTTTTGAGTTTCTGAATGCAGGTATAAAATTGAATATTAATTAAGCTTCTTTTCATGAAGGTGCATTAGTTTTGAAGGGAATGAGATTTTTATGTAAAGATGGTGGAAAAAAGTGAGTTATATTTGAAGAGAGAATTAGAATGATCCTGCTTGATCAATTTAGGCATGGGAACCCTGGCTTGTTACTAAATTTAATAAATATGCTTTTGATATTTCAGATTTACCACTTAGACAACACGTCTTCTGAACAAATTCTCGGGAAAGGATGCGTGACATTTGCAAGGTTAAAGAATGATTCAGCAGACACTGCAAAAGCAATACACGTCTGGAGAAAAATGCCCTTTGATGTAAATGATTCATAAAAATAAGAAAAACTAGCTGGACAATGTTATGTTGCCATGACGACACACCACACTCCTTTTTCAGCAAGAATTTTTGTTTATTTCTGTTACAGTAACAATACACGTTGTGAAAGAGGCAACATATTTTGTCTCTTAATTGAAACATATATTGCTTATAATGATAACTTTTTTTAGGAAAAAAAGGGCATGTTTGGGTTTGAAGTGACTTCCTTTGTTAGCCCAGGATTCTTTCAAGCCTGTTTAACATACAGGACCCAGTTTCATAAAGGACTTTTAGCACTAACCAGTGAATAAATTCTCCTAACACCTCTTAACTAAACGATGGTTAAAATTGTGTTTCATAAACAGTTTTTAAACAGCCTGTGAGTTAAGTGGCCGGTGTTTAACTGGACAAAATATTTAAATGTCTGTTAACTTACCAGCTGGTTAGTGCTAAAAGTCCTTTATGAGACTGGGCCCAGGTGTTTTGCTTAAACCACAGGTGGAATTGAAAGCCTGAAATAAGAATCATCCCAGACTAACCACTGGTTAATGAATCCATTCTGACATTAAAAATTAGTCCCAATTTTTTTTCTAAAACATTTGTTTTTTGCAATAATCTCTTAAGAGATTTATTACAATTTATTACAGCAGGTAGCAGTCTATGGAGATCACATGGTCTGATGGCAAGAAAAGATTTCACAATAGTTGTGAAAACTGCTGTTTTGGTGGTAAAAAGATAATTTATTATATTTCTGTCATTTACTATGCATTTATGTGACATGGATCTCTTACGAAGAGTTGCTATCCCATTAAGATGTAACAGTTTCCTGGGTTTCATTAAAGAATACACATTTTGAAGTCATGGTCATTGTTGCATGGTATTACAAATTGAAGGTCAGGGAAAAGCGTGTATACCTTAAGGTTTTTCTTTCAATTTTTGTTTATTATTGCGTTGGTAAATAGAGAGAGTCAAAGAATGTTTTCATTTTTCATGTCATATATTTATTTCACATCACATAAATAACAATTCGGGATCAAATAAATATGATGGGCAATTTTGATACAGTTATCTAGTTTTCATGAAATTTAAAATTTTTATCATCACATTGCTGAGCACTTTGCATAAAAAATTAAATATATACATTTCTTGTTCCACATTCTATCAGTTGAAAAGTTCTTATTTCAATAACAATTCACAGAGGAAGTGGACCTTTAAAAACATCCAGAAATGGCAAGCGCCCATGGTGCACAGCTTGTGGTGGGTATGGGTGGCAATAATACAACACCCAAATACCTGGATTTCTGGATAAATGTGGACTACTTTCATCTCTATCAATTAATTCATAAATTTACTAAAACCAATAAGATGTATTGATTTGTTTTTGGTCAAAAACGAGGTGTTTGCAATTAAGCCAAAAAAAAAAAAAAAAAAATCCTCCCTGAATCAAGAATATATATAAATTCTATTATTATCATGTAAATTGTGAGGCAATACAACTTAAAACTGACACAACCATTTCACCTGATAAGGACGTGGTCCCATTTCACAAAGAATCTCAAATCTGTAGTTTTGACTTGCTTGGGCAAAGTGACCTTGCTAGGTGGATAACAATGCAGTTGACCAGGAGTCTTTCATAAAGTCTGAAGTCCTAGCTTTGTTTGCTTAGGTGTTGCATTCGAGGAAGAGTAACCTTGTTTAGATTTTATGTGAAAAGGAATTCAATAAAAAGACCACAGAACTATAATTTCTTCTTATATACATAACAACTAAAATGATAATGTGTAAGTTTCATAACATGATGCCAATTATCGATGACTGTACACAATTTCATATGAAATATACTCCTTGATGACATGATCAACCTTGACTTATTAAGACCACTGAGTGGGATTGCTGTTTATAACACAATTGCATAGTTACTTTATTTTATTATCTTGTAGTAACATTTAAAAAGTGACTTCTCCAATGTAAAAAGAATCAAATCTGAAAGAAAAATTCACTATCAGAAGTAGTTTCGCAAGCACCATGAATTTTATAATTATGACATGCATGGGGACATAAACAATAAGAAGTTATTACATTTCTTGAAATTGAAATTAGCTATATGTGAGTAAATTTACTTTTAAATTCATGTCTTAAATCGGATGAATTTTACCATATTGTTCACAACCCATCCAACCATTAGTTCTTTAAAAAAAAAAAAGCTGACTGAAAATGATCTCACATTAGAAAAATCCCGGGATAAATAAAAACCTGCACTAGCATTCCATTTTTTTTTTAAGTAATCATAATATTTTTATTTAAGCCTCATTTCCTCATCCATCTTTCTCAGCAAAAAAAAAAAAATAAAGTTCTTCATTGTGACAGAAATGCACTTCTTCTAAAGCACTGAGGAAAGCACCAAAATGAGTGGAAAAGGGCTAAACCTAGTTTATTGTTAATGGTGACTTAGAAAGTCTCTGAGGATTAATCCCCAACTTGGAAGTCCCACTTGGAATGTATGGAAAGGCAGGGGGATTTCCTGAGAAACCTTACAACTTTGACTTGTGCATTTCCTTCAGGAATGGCTGCATGTACTGGTAGTATGAATCATGAACCTGAAAAAAAAAAAAAATTAAAAGTGACTAGTGGACAAATAATATTCGTACATAAAACATCATATAAATAATGCATGAACAGAAAGAAGTAACAAATGAATGGAATGTATATACTCAAAATGAAATATATGAAGCAAATATATATATATATATATATATATATATATATATATATATATATATATATATCAGAAAAAGCAAGTGACGAAAGTTTGCATCTCTCTCTCTCTTATTATCATTTTTTTTTTTGGGGGGGGGGAGGGAGGTGCTAAGTACAAAACCCAATATGAAATCAAATTATGCCCAAATCTGGAAGACTCTCATCTCTAAGATCTAAGGAACAGGTAAACTGATTATAGAGGATTTTCCATGTGACTACTAAGAAAGCATTCAGAACAGAGGAGTAACAGAGGCGAGCACATAATGCTGTGGCGACGTGCCGCCTGCTCTGAATGTATTTTTTATGTATATCTTGATTGTAGAAATAAATCTGTTAAAATAAAAAAAAAGTAACAGATATGCAGATCAAATATGGCTAACCACTAAAAAGCTTGGTTCCTGAATAGACACTGAATAGATTCCACGCAAGAATTACGCACCAAGGATTCAAGTGGGTCAGCCATAGTTGATCCACGGACTTGTTAGTCTGGTGGTCTGAATGCCCTCTGAAACTTTGGGGGGGGGGGGGGAGGGGGAGGCTTATATTTCCAGATGCTGCATACTTACCTGTGTGTCATTCAGTGGGGAAGACTTGGCCCATTCTAGCATATTCTCATAGACATTTCCATCATAGCGGCCCAGCACACTCTGAAGGAGGTGATCACTGAAGTCAAATGCATCCACCAGAGCCACGGCGTTTGGCCTGATGGCGGCCAAAAGG